GCTGTACATCACGCAACCTACCTCATTAACCGGATTCCAACAAAAGCATTGAAGAACCAAACCCCTTATGAGAGCTTCATGACCAAGAAACCAAGCTTAGAATACCTGAGGGTTTTTGGTTGTGTCGCTTATGCAAAGATCACTGGACCATATCTTAAGAAACTAGACGAAAGATCAAAGAGTGTGGTGCATCTTGGAACAGAACCGGGTTCCAAAGCTTATAGACTCTATGATCCGAACGCCAAAAGAGTAATGGTAAGCAGAGACGTGGTCTTTGATGAGAAAAAGACTTGGGATTGGACAACTTCAACACAAGAAACAGAAGGAAAACCGGGCATGCTTAAGCTACCATACGATGATCATATGGAGGAAGAAGCAGGAGAGGATCATAATCAAAACATCAATCACGATCAGGGTCCTATTGATCATGACGTGGTAGAAGAAGCAAATACAGAACAAGGAATGAATCAAGGAGAACAGCCTCAGCAAGTTACTACAAGATATGGAAGAATCGTAAGAAAACCAGGGTATCTAGAAGATTTTGTGATGTTTGCAGAACAAGAAAGCGAAAGACTACTTCTCACAGTGGATGGTGAACCAGAAAGCTTTCTTGAAGCAAAACATCTACAAGATTGGATTGATGCTATGAAGGCTGAATTAGATTCAATCGAAAAGAATAAAACTTGGGAGCTTGTTAAAAGACCAAAGGGGATCAGACCTATTGGACTAAAGTGGATTTACAAGATTAAGAGGAATGCAGATGGTTCAGTGAACAATTATAAGGCCAGACTCGTGGCAAAAGGGTATGTGCAACAAGAAGGTATAGATTTCGACAAAGTGTTTGCTCCTGTAGCAAGAATCGAGACTATACGACTCCTTATTGCCCAAGCAGCAACAAGAGGATGGGAGATACACCACTTGGATGTCAAGACAGCTTTCTTAAATGGAGATCTACTTGAAATAGTCTATGTAAGTCAGTCTGAGAGTTTTGTGAAGAAAGGAGAAGAGGACCGAGTATACAAGCTTCACAAATCCTTGTATGGCCTGTGACAAGCTCCTAGAGCTTGGAACATCAAGCTAGATCAGGTTCTTAAGGCAATGAACTTTAAAAAATGTCTAAAGGAGCCATCGGTGTATCTCAAGAAGAACAAGGACACTTTGATTGTGGCAATCTATGTGGATAATTTATTTGTGACAGGGACTTCATAGAAAATCATAAAACAGTTTAAGGAAGATATGTCAAACAGGTTTGAGATATCAGACCCTGGAAAATTGACATATTATCTCGGTATGAAGTATTTCAAGGAGCAGATGGTATCAAGATCAAACAGGAAGGCTATGCTCAGGAAATTCTAATCGATACTCAGATGAAAACATGCAACCTATCTCATATACCAATGGAAGAAAACCTAAAGATCTTTAATGCAGAAGATGAAGCAGAGGTTGATGCCACTGGGTATAGGAGGACAATAGGTTGTCTAAGGTATCTTCTTCATACAAGACCTGACTTGGCGTTTGCAGTAGGTTTTTTAAGTTGTTATATGCAGAGTCCAATAGAATGTCATGGACAAGCTATCAAGCGCATACTAAGGTATGTAAGAGGAACCACAAGTCTTGGACTACACTTTAGAAGAGATGGATCAAGCAAAGTCATAGGATATAGTGACAGCAGTCACAATATTGATGTTGATGATGGAAGGAGCACAGGCGGGCATGTATTCTACCTAGGCTCATCACCGATCACTTAGACATCTCAGAATCTATCCACCGTCGCCTTATCTTTGTGTGAAGCAGAGTTCATGGCAGGCACAGAGGCAGCAAAACAAGTTATATGGCTTCAAGAATTGTTGAAATAGATTCTAAGTATAGACAATGGAAAGGTTATACTTAGAATAGACAACAAATCGGCCATAGCATTAACCAAGAACCCTGTATTTCAAGGGAGAAGCAAACACATCCTCTCTAGGTACCATTTCATCCGAGAATGTGTGGAGAATGGTCAGATCGAGGTAGAGCATGTCCCAGGCGCAGAACAAAAGGCGGACATACTCACTAAGGCGTTGGCAAGGCTAAAGTTCAAAGAAATGAGGAGCCTACTTGGAGTTGAAGACATTGAGCACCCTGAAATTCAAGTTGGAATTAAGGGGGAGAATGTTGGATAATTCCTAACTTGTAGAGGAAGTTATCTCTTAAGAAGTTGCTTAAAGAAATAAAAGGAAATTATAGATAAGATTTAGATATATTCCATATATTTAGATAAGGTTTATAATTCCTAATCCATATAGAATAAGGAGTTGCTAGTTCTATATAAGAAGAGTCTTTGAAGAGATGTTCCACAAGATTTAGAAGAGATATTTAGTTTTTGAGAAGTTTTCTAAATCAATAAGAAGAGTTGTTCTTATAATTCTGAGTTTTAGCACATTACCACTTTGAATTGGTATCAGAGGTTGAGTTGAAACTAAGAATAAACCGATCACAAAGATCAACAAGTGCGAGACGATGGGAGATGAAGTCGTTCAAGCACAATCACGAGCTAAAGACATTGGATCATCGGTGATCCAATGTCCGATGTTAACATCTACCAACTACACAGTTTGGTCGATCCGTATGAAAGTTATGCTCAGGGTATATGAAGTTTGGGACACAATAGATCCTGGGTCAACCGATGCAAAGAAGAACGATGTAGCAATGGCATTGCTGTTCTAATAGATACCTGAGAGCCTAATCTTGCAACTAAAGGAACCGACGACGTCAAAAGCGGTCTGGGATGGCTTGAATTCACGACACCTTGGAGCTGATCGTGTAAGATAGGCGAGAAAACAGACACTTATGGCTGAGTTCGATAAATTGAAGATGAACGACACAGACACAGTCAATGACTTCGCATGGAATATATTGGGGACAGCTTCGAAATCCTCATCTCTAGGGCAAACTATCAAAGAGTCTGTGTTTATAAAAAATATTTAAAAGGGACTCCCAAGAAGCAAATTCATTCATATAGTAGCCTCACTTGAGCAGGTCCAAGAGCTCAACAAAACGAGCTTTTGAGGATATAGTTGGGAGGCTTAAAGCTTATGAAGAACGCATTGGGAAGATACTCAAACCAAGGACAAGGGAAGCTAATGTGGGCTAACAATGATCAAAGTAACAGTGGAGGTTATGGTGGTTCTCGAGGTAAAAGCAGAGGAGGTGGAGGCAGAGGAAGAGGTCGAGGGAGATTGAATGGCCAAAACCAAGGAGGAGCACCTGGAGAATCAAATCAGAAACAGAAGAAGGACAGGTCCAAAGTCATATGTTGGAGATGTGACAAACCTGGCCACTTCGCATCACTTTGTCCTGAAAGAAAAAATAAAAAACCAAGAATCAAACCTCAACGAAACAGAGGAAGAAGGAGTTCTCTACATGCACGAAGTGGTATTTTTGAATGAGGATAAAGTGATGCTGAATAAATATGATGCCAATAAGTGCGATGCAAGTATATGATATCTAGATACTAGGTATCCATCTTTTACTTCTTGATCGCAAGGTTACTTTGAGGGTTTTGTCCTCCCACAACGAACATTCAGCCTACTTCTCCAGGTCCATTTTTTCTTAACCTAGGCTCTGATACCATTAATTGAGTTTTTCTTAGCCCATGTCCAACTCCTCAATCAGTATGATATTGTCTGCTTTGGGCCTAACTGACAATGTCTGCACGGATTTGATTTTGGGCTCTTTCCCAAAAGGCCTCATTCTAATTGGAGTTGGACATTACTTATATATTAGACCATATTGGTCTAAACTTCCGATGTGGTACTTTGGATTGATTCCCAACATTTGTTGTGCACATGCAATTGTTTATTTGGGTTAGAACTTGACCCATATCAAATGTGTGGGTCGTTATCTGGGAGTAGTGTGAAACTCGATGGTTCTCTCGATTAGCTTCACAACACTCTCGAATATGATGAATGATTTAACACTCAAAGAATGAGAAAGACCGAAAGTAAAGAGACACAGAGTTTTAACGAGTTCGGGGCATTAACCTGCATCCTACTTCTTGTCGGTGATCCACCTCGCCGGAATCCACTAGATTAAAACTCAGTCCGAGCTACAAAGTTGTCACTCTCTCTATACAAGATTCTCTTTCTTCTCTCAGATCCGAAAACTGAACGAATGCCGAGGAAGAAGATAAGTCAAAGATAAGTCGTCAAACAACCGTTACAGATACACTTCAACAATACACACGCGTGACCAATAAGAGAGTGACGACACCTAGTGGACTTAAACCATACTAGATGCTTCTTCAATCCTCGGTTATCTCGAGCTGGTTTTCTCCTTGAAGACACTCTGAATTACGGAGAGTCTTCGATACACTTAGTCTTTTCCGACTAGTGATCTTGGCTACTACTTCTTCAAATCTCCACCTGTAGCCACGATCAATATACCTTGGTGGATCCCTGCATCCAAAACCTGGACGCCTGCACTCACCTCGTGAATGCTCACTTCAGTTTCTTGAGACCCGAAGCATCTTCAATGCTTCATGGACTTTGTTCACCGGTAACATCTTAGTGAAAATATCTGCAGGCTTGTAAGTGGTAGGAATCTTCAACACTTGTACCTCTCCTTTGCTGATTAAGTCTCGTCCAACTAGTGATCTTGGCTACTACTTCTTCAAGTAGAATAATATTACATGCAAACTAAAGACTTCAATAGAAACATGCGCACCACTAATACATCTTCATTTTTAAAGAGGCTTTCACACCATTGGTACAACGTGGTTAAGGCAAAAATGACGATTTGTAAGAATCAAAACAGGTTGAATCTTAAAGAATCATCACCGGAAGTGGTATCTGCAAACGATTGCCTGAGATCCAAACTAAATATGGAAAATGAAATATTACTTCTATTGATAAGCGTGATACATCGACTGTTGTGTATTCGTAAAAACACTAAAAATAGCTAAATTTTCAAAGTTGTACACAGTGATTTTACAAAGAATTTGGAAACGATGCAATCAAACTTTAGTCAAGATGTAAATCTGGTAAGTCTCCTAAGAGAGTAATATTGACGTAATTATTAGGAAAATGAGCAGGTAATCCTGGAATTAACAATGCGACGACCCTAAAACATCTCAAGAACCATCCTTCTTTGTACTCTTCACCTTTCCAATAAGGCATGATGAAACTCCTCATCAACTCCCAAAATGCGTTAATAATCTTCGGTATAGCCCAGAGCAAATTGAAGTAGTTTTTATTTGGCTCCTCTTCCTCTACCTGGACATAGTATCAAAAATAGCAATGCAGATGGATATGATAAGTAGGAGTAGTGAAAAATGAAAATTCTAAGACAAAAAATCTCTTATATACAAGCTAATCATAATAAGATAAAATAATATATTTTTTAAGTCCTAAATTATTTTTTCGGACTGATTTTTATATCAATAAATTAATAATTCTATAAATTAATAGAATATTGCTATCCTATTATTATTAATTTATAGAGGTTTAAGTGTATGTATAAAATATGGTAATATTAGATGATAAGAACTATTAAAACAAAAGAATGATAAAATTAAAATAAATATTAAAAAAAATTTCTAAGTTTTAATAAGTCTTTATTGATATTAACTTTTTTTTATTAATATCTCATCTAGGCCTAGGCAAATTATCAACAACTGAAAACTGAACAGAACCAAGTAGTTTTAAATACACTTATAGTTCATCTTTTAAAATATTGTAATCATCTGAATATATTTATAAGCAAACATATTTTATATTAATGTAGATTACAAATAACCAAAATATCAAAAATTATAATTATAATTATAATCCTAAATTATTTATGATATTACAGGCGGATAAAAATATCAGATAGTTTGAATAGTTTAGATATCTTTTCGTATAGTTCAGATAGTTTGAATAGTTCAGGTAAAGGTATTTGATCCAAAGTGGACACGAACCTGAATATATTTCAGATCCATGACGGTTCTTCAATCTATTATCTAAACTGACCATAGCCTAAACGAAACGTTTCTTCTAACTTTTAAGGTTCCAATATAGTTCCTAAACCCCCTATATTTGAACTATAAAAAATTAATATATATAATCGAAACGAACCAAATATATACCCAGCTCTAATATTCTCATCCGTTATATTTCAAATGAGATATGTAGTCTTATCCCGGTGGCGAATACATTCTCATATGAGAAGGAACTTTAAGAACGGGTGTGGAACAAGATAGGTTAAGAATTTTTCCAATTTCTAATCATGAGTCATGAGTGGTTAATTCAGAGAAATAAGAAAATAAAATGTAAATTTGACTAACCTTTCCTCTATAGAGACTGTCATAGAAAAGGCATGCCCCAAAGTGTTTGAACATGAGTGTCTTGTCGTCGAAAGGCAACCTAGGAACCATGTCGTTGCAATAAACATATCTTTCGTACTTCACGTCAAATTTCTTCAACGAACCTTTCATGAACTTTCCAAAGTCCTCGTCTCCCACACGTGGCTGACCAAATGTGTAAACTCCTTCGAGCTTGTCTAGCATTTGCTCTTCGTCATGCATCATCAATACGGCCGTGAATAGAATCGCTAGAGCCCCACCTAGGCTATGTCCGGTCAGGATAAATTTGGATATCGGGTTTTGGTCAAGAATCTCTTTAATGTAATGCCTAATAGTATAGTATGCATATTGAGTTGTTTCTTTTTGGGTTTGGTCAAAGTTTACTTCTTTAGGCCACCCTTCTTTTTGAAGACCTAAAGCTTTCATGAACCCTCCATGAACCTTTCCCACATTCTTAATCTCGTACCTATTTTGGATATCAACATTGGTTCAACCAATCAATGAACATAAAACCGGATAAACACCAATCTAACCCGAACTGGTTAGCAAAGATTAAAACAAAAGATAACAAAATTACCAAGAAAGATCCAAGTCCGTACACCAATCATCAGTGTCGAATGGATCGGTGCCTCTGAAACTGACGACGATGAGGTTCGGATCCGTGCTTGTGTCCTTTATAACAATTACCTCTGTTGACCTCTGTTTCTGGTAACCTAGGAAACTCAAAGAAGAAAGTGTTACTCTTCTTTCTAAAGACATATATACATATTCTTCAAATCGTCTTATATTTAATACAACTACAACTGAATTTAAAATCCTAAAAATTATGAAAGAATTAAGTCATCATTTTATAAGATTCTAGAGAAATTGAAGTTTAAAGTCCCATTATTTACAAAAGAATTAAGCAGACTGGCTCAAATATTTACAAGAAGAAAAAATTAAAATTTATTTTCGAAAATTTGGAAGTCTTCACTTTCAGTTTGATTAAAAAATTATAGTCAGAAAAAGGTTGGAGAATTTAATTACTTAAGTAAACAAAGAGATGTGTTTGTTTACACAAGAAACTATATATATAATATTTTTTAGACTTGAGTTTGACTTAGAATTACTAGTTAACATTAACATTTAGATTTGTAAAAAGCACAATATTTTAAGAATAAAGATAAAAATAGACATATTAGATAATTTCTTGGAAATTACTCATTACTGATTAAACTACATTTGGTCATTTGGGATGAAATTATTTTTCTATGAGAAAATTTAAATATCATTATTTAAAAACTAATGTGATTAGGAAATTGAATTAGGATCACAATATTTGAAAATTCAACCTGTCCGAATGTTGCAAATTATTAGTGGAATCAAATTCAGTTAGGTAAGGAAAAATAAAATAATCCACATATCAGTCAGTGTTTTCACGTGGTATTTGCCGTTTTGGGACTAATTCAGTTAACTATTTGTAATATCTTTTAATATAGAAAGGGGAAAGCAGTCTCACCATTCCAACAGCTGTAGAAACCCAATAAGTCCATCTGTGCAAAGATTTATTAAAAAGTGATTATAAGTCCAACACATAATTAATCTCTTAATGATTTGATTTTATTATTTTCTTAATCAAAGATAATCATGCATGGTCATGTTTATAAGATAAATTTTAATAATTAGACAAAATAGTGAAAATACAGACACAGCTAAATGACAGTATGCATCAGTTGCCCTAGTTTAATACGAGACTTTACTTATTTTAAAGGTAAATGGAAACAAAAAATAGACTATATGGAAATTTATTTTTAACTTATTTTATTTAGAAGAAAAAAACATTGGTAATTGCTTTTAGGCTAATCATCATTTGTAACAATCTAGACTGTTACCTTCGTTAAAACACTTCGTTTATTTTAGTAGAAAACTGACCGTAATTATATATTGTCTATTCAATAAGATTAATTCAAATTAAAAGTCCATTTTGAAATGCTAGAATGTGAATTTTCAAAAACACCACAATATTGTCACTACAAAAAAAAAAAAAAAAAAAAAATCAATTTCTGGCGGACAAATCCATCGGTTCATCAAAAATGAACATGTTAATGATTGATGGACAAATTTAGAATTATCGTTATAGTGAGAGTTGTGAAAAATATTTAAGGAAAATATAGTTTTCCTTTTCGTTATGTAGTTAGTAAAAAGGGAAGAGTTGAATAATAAAAAACCTTCCAATGGTTGTGAAGAACAGAGCTGACAAAGTTTATGTTCTCGTAAGAAAGCTTAGAAGCCATAATTGACAACATTGCTTTGTATCTTTTACTTCCTGTCTCTATTCTCCCGTCTAACTCTACACGCGGGTCTAGATTTCCGACTAGCGATGCAAATGTCGCCGATGTTTTCTCCGGCCAGATCATCTTTCCTGAAACAAAACAAAGTTATATAAATGTTATACGTAGGGGCAAATTAACTAACTAAACCTCATGTCCTAATTGCGTTTAATTGTACGTCTCAACATTCAGTTAATTAGAAGATAATTGACAAAGTAGAAAACTCCTTTGGGTCACGCATAATCGTTTGTGAAGAATTATTCATAGTAAGCAATAATTATTTGTCTACTATCATCATTTTTTTCCATTTGACATGTCGATGAAAATGAAGAAATCATTCGAGTTTAACGTTTGTATTTTATCTTTAATTTAATCAACTAAACTTGTACCAATTAGTTCAAAACAAGAAAGTCAAAAGAAAAACTGACCTTTGAAAATATTTGGGAGTATCATGAAGAAGCCACCATTCGAAGATACAAGGTTGAACCAATAAGCAAGAGAGAATCCAAAAAAGTAGAGAGGGTTTTTTAGGAGAATCATAAGTTTCTGAATAACGATTGATACAAAGATGATCCATCTTCGCCGGAATCTGTAAAGATCATCCTCAAGCCTATATTCCGAAGAATCGATGAACCTTCTATTTTCGAAATCCGAAGAAAAGAGAAGATGTATGAGATCCGAGGCGGTGGCTTCTCTCGGATCCAACACAAAATATTTTTCGGTTGTACACATTTTGTTTTCTGTCGTTTGGTTTTAATTGCCAACGTTAATGGAGCTTCAAAACTTGAAAGAGCTGTTTTGCAAGCTAAGTCACGTTAGCTTTGTGTATTTATATTGTTAAGAGTAATATATTTTAATATTTTGCCACGGGTTTATGATTTTGGAATGGTTTAATATTTAAATTTCGATATTACGATATATGGTCATATCATGTATGTTAGTCTCCACAAGCCAACATTATTAACACATGTGTTGTTTACTAGTTAATAAAGCGAGTATTAGGCCGGACTTTTGACGGATCTCATTGGTATTAAAAAAATTAGATTTTTTCTCCCCTCTAACAGCATGGATTAAGTAAAAGGTGATAATGGGATGGTTCCTTCTAATGAAAAATATCACTCTGTGGATTTAGACTAGGGATTGAGTTTTCCTAAATGTAGAATTATCACATTATTAATTTTTAGCCATTCAACTATGCGGGCTATTATTGAATTTACATGAAAAAGATGCTGGATCCAAAAAAGATTAGTCTGAACCCGAAAAACCTGAGATTTACTTCTGGATATAAAAAAAAAAAAAATACAGCATGGATTTATAACCTTATAATCATTACAAGGTTTGTCCCTTTCAACTATTGGCAAAAGACAAAGAGGGGTAAACACCCAAATAATGCATTGAAAATTTATATTGTTCAATAAATATACTATACTTTTTTGCAAAAAAATCGTATAAAATTTAATAGTTTTGTAACTGGGAGAATCGTAAGTTTTGAAAATATGAACAAGGTAGAGAGATAATTGCCAGAAGAGAGAAAAATGAGTCGAAAAACCTATGAAGAAATTGTTGTTTCTTAGTAACATCATCCTTCGTAAATATTTTCGTTTACTTACTTTCCTTCCTGATTTAGTTATTGTTATGGAGTTTACAATATTTGGTTAAACTAGTATCCCTTCTCTGATAAGAGAGCAAGAGTTTTGACATATGGTGTATTCGTTCTACTCTGGTTGCGCTTGTGTATTACACATTTTCATTGATCTGCATTCAACTAGTATTATCGATTGTACCAAGATATTTGCAACATTTGTACACATTAATTAGGATTGAACCTAAATATAAAATTTACAAACATCCAATTAAACATGAAATCCAATATATTAGAATTTGCTCACCTAATAGAAAATAGAAGCCATCACCAAAGTCCGCCGCTAACAAAAATTGCACCTAGCCACAATCAGCGTCTTATAAACCCTTTAAATGAGATTGCAAATGTCGTTGTCACATCAAATAAACCAACTAGGCCATGTTCTTTTCATAAACGCTGCGTCAGTGTTCGACGACAAAAACTACACTGTAAAGAATTTAAAAATTGTGTTTATGCTCACACATCTGCTGCAATTACTTTTAACCGGTGTTGTTGGTGACGCTGGGAAAATACAGCATCATTTTTTAGGTACCACGACCACCTCCTGCTACACCTCTTTTTCCAGCAGCATCTCCAACACATGGTCGTTTTGCTTCGTTAGGTATTACTGTCATCACCGTTTCGCTCTGTGGCAGAAGCAGATGCAGCGTGGAAGAAAAAAACAGACCTTAGTATGATCTTTTTCAGTCGAGTCAATATAATGATATTGTTTATTACCAACATTAAAATAAGCCGCTTGACACTTCGGTATTCCCACAGGATTATATTAGTATAATGTGTAGTTTGTCCTAAATAAATCATTTGTTCTCACAGAGATCAAACCCCACTTATCTAGATCCGTTTAAAATAGGAATGGATCAAAATCAGTATTGTTTTTACTTTTTAGTATAAAGTAATTGTACAATATCTTATTGGTACTCTCACTATCAATCTTGTTTTATTGTTTGCGTTTCCTGCTGCTGTAGTTTGCATACGTTTAGGAAATTCTTTTGGTTATGTGAGACATCCTAAACTGGAGAAACCCTACTGAATAACTTGACTTGCACTCTACGCCAAAATGATCTTTTAAACGACACTTGAAAGAAAAAAGAGGGGTGAGCATTTTGAAGATACTCAGTGAAAACGATTTTACATGTCTGCTTGATCTATACGAAAAATTAAACATAACCATATATATGTCTACTTAACTTAAGATTAGACAAACAACAATCATAAATCTTTCACAAGTACACAGAAACCTAGCACATAAGTTCTCACTCATGAGAACGTCACATTGTAAATCTGTTTAAATCTGGTGACTCGTCAGCCACAAATCTCACAGGCCCGTCAGCCTCTATACTGGCTACATTTCCTCTGTGTATGGTCCAGCCATGGTCTCACTTCGTGAAACTTTTCATGAAGACCAACAAGCAATCCGTCCATAGGCCGGGATAAATCATGCGTTCTAACGCGCATAGACTAACACCAATTAACAATACATACAACAGTTCACAAAGAATCATTCATATCTGTTTTAATTACCAATCAATCTCTAATTCTAGGTTCAGCACACACATATACAAATATGTCTAAGACAACCTATAGATCCACAAGTCCCGCTTCACCTTTGCCTTGTGGATGAAGATATGATGCATCGGAAGGACTGGTTAGAATATGTGTCCCAAGGTCTCGAAAAGGAGACCGCCAAGATAGATCTGCAAAGATGGATTCAGGAGCTTCGTAATGGTATGTAGATCGCCTTTTAGAGATTCTTGGATTACCGGCAAAACGCTTCCAAAGTTGGCCTCTCGCGAATCTGATCTGTGCGGATCTGCATCGGAAAAATGCACATAACTTTCAAACTATAACTCCAAATGAAGATCATGCCAGCGGCTACAGCTAGATCTGGGAGTCAGGATAATACATACTAATTTTTAGGCCAATCCAATCCGAATTGCCTGTACGTTTCTCTTTTATGCCAGAACAGGTCGGATCTGACTCTTCTTAGATGGCTACAGTGGTTTCTCCTTTAAGGTTCATCGCCACAAGATAGCTCTCTGATCTCTTCTAGGGCGTGGCTCTCTATTTAAAGAGTGGAGAGGAGTTTAGATTTAGGGTTTTAGGAAGAAAGTTAGGCTTGAAAGTTTTTATGATGGGCTTTAAATAATGGGGTTGAAAGGAAAAAAAGAAATTGCACCAAACCCTATTTTTGGGATGTCACATTATGTCTTTAGCCTCTTTTTCAAGGACTATGACTCACTGGATAACTCTCCTATGAAAATGTATATGGCCATTTAAAAATTAATAGTTCTACATGTAGTAGTCAAACCAAATTAAATCATTACATCTGTTTATCAACCACAACAAGGGTTTAACCTAGTGTGAAAACATAGAATATAACTTAGGGACATAATATTCAAATGAAAAAGGTTTTCTCGCTATTCTATTGGCTGCCTCATTCCTTCCTCTTGGATGAAACACAGTCTTGTGGTTGTTGTGAGCAAACATTTAGTGTATGTATTGATGTAGCACTTTGAAAATGGGCTACACATAGTCTGTCGTTAATGCCTCGATAAGCTCCTTTAAATTTGTCTCGAATGTAACATTTAGTAGCCAAATCCTGTTGTGACTTGTATAGCTCATCTCAATGCCTATACTTCTGTCTCAAGCACCGTTTTCAACTTTGGCAGTGTTGTTGCCGCTTACCATTTTACATTTTCTTCATGGTCTCTCAAGTTCCAACCAATTCCACACAATCTCCCTCCTTCGGCCAAGCTGCAACTAAGTTGCATTTGAGACACTGTTGTGGAGGCAGTTTCCAAGAGTCATGTGCATCTCCGCTTTCAGTAGACTGCCTCTTGTGGATTTTTATCTCTTTCCTTGCCACCCATTCCTATAATTTTCCCATCACCTTTATTACTGTTTCTTGAACTTCATAATATAACCCTTTAAAAACATAGTTGTTTTTTTTGTTTTCCACAACCTCCATATAAGCTTATAAATGAGATACATACTTATTGAGAGTGATTTTGGGATATGATCATAACTTGGTAAAGATTGGTGAAGTGAGACTGACATTTCACCTCCTGGTGGGCAGGGATATTAATTAGCGATATTCCAAATCAGCCTAGCATACGTGCATTAGAAAAGAAAATGGTTCACAGTTTCTTTTCTTCCTTGACTTTTTCACAATTTGCCATATTTTTATAAGTTAAGTTTGCTGCAATTGGTTGGCTATTACCTGCACACTTCCACAAGAAATGTTGTATCTTTGGATTGGCTTCTACCTTCCAAACCATTTGGAATAAGACATCTAGAGTTCTAGACTCAGCTGGGTGATATCTTGTTGGTCTTTCTCCTTATCTAGAATATGGGTGACTACTCAGGATCCTAAATTTACTGTGTATTGGTCTGTATTTGTGTAGTCCTAGCAATAGACATCTTCACCATATGTTCCACCAGGTCTAATTTCCTCAATGAGGGTTAATTTGATATAAGACTCGGGTGAGGCTTATATGATTGCGGAATCGATGGCTTGGTGGGAACAACACGCTGGCTATGATGCTTTCTCGTGTAGCTCAGGGGATGAGAATGGTAAGACAAGGCTTGCTTCCACAAGACTTGAATCGAGATGGGATCTGTCAAGCTGGCTTTAACGCTCTCTCTTGAGGGATCGGTAAGGGGTTTGGAAGTGGATCGAAGGCACCACAGAGATGATGGAGGATCTCTGATACTGCGGCTTGCCTCTTGGTGAATCTCACACGCAAGAATACAAACAAGGTCTCTCAAGCACAAGCTAAGAGGAAAACGGCGTTATTTTATTGATATCGGAGAAAAAAGGTTAAAGTATAAGAGCTGCATGTGGGACTTTATAAACAGTCCGTCAGCTTTGAACCTTCTAGGGTTCGGCTCAAAGAATAAAACGACACTAAGGACTCAAAACAACAGGACTTGTAAAAAGAAATAAAGTAAAATGGCAAAGCGTCTCATTTGGACACAAAAATGGAAAGTTTACTTAAAAATAAAAAAAAAAAAAAAAGGAAAAGAAACTAATCGTTTGCAACCTTTTCTGGACTTGTTCCGTGCACCTCTGATGCCATCTAGGGTGTTAGACACCACTAAGACACTCCCATGTTACCTGCACAAATCGTATAAATGGAAAATACCTGGTTGCGGCCGGCTGTGGGCTTACTTGTCATCTCGTTGATTCGCTCGTTAGCCTTGAGATTTCCTTTGTTAGTCTTGATGTTTAGTTCATCTAGGGTCATGTCCACGTCGTGTCCTGCGAGTTCTTCAAGTCTCTTCATGCGTCCCACTTCATGTTCCTCCTTGGGTCTCGTTGGCTCGCTAGCGGCTCCGGGTCTTGAAACGGTTGTATCTTGAGGGTCCAATGCGGCCTCTTCGAGATTCTTGGTGTTCTGTGCTCCATTTCCTGCCAAGTAAACATGTATACCTGATTCTAGTTGAGGCTGGCTCTCTTTGAGGCTCAGACGCGCGAAACCCTCCATTATGTCTAAGTCGGGTCCTTTGGGGCTATCTCGCGTGTATTGTTCTTGAGGCTCGATTTTGAATGCATCTCCAATTTCCATGGTACTTAGTAATGATTCCACGGCCAAGTTGAACCCTTCTCTAAGCCTCCTTGCTTTGGAGCGGGTCATTGGTGCTTCTTTGAGCTCGGGAACGACCTTTGGCTCTGGTGATGGTTCGATGGCCTCATCATAATTTCTCCTCCAGTTGATGGCATGCAACTCCTCGTTCCCAGTTCTTTGCTTAACCATTATATCATTAACTATGATCTAGAAATATATGTTCTGTAACTAGCTAGGAGGAACCATCAGAGTCGCACGGAGGCATCTGGTTGGGGAGGCGACAAATGTTTGTCTTATTTATGTCTTTCTCTGGATGCCTTGTTTTAAAACTCCTTGACCATCTCTATTAATCCTTCTCCCATACAATCTTAGAACTGATGGTAGAAGTGACCATTCATTCTGTCTAGTCCAAGGCATTTTGGAGGATTGATATTACGAGAAAATTGTGTTACAAGTAATAACCTTGGAAAATTGCGAGAAAGTTACCTATCATAACTTCATGACCGGCTTTAGCGGGTGGCGAGAAGAGTCGACACTTATTTTTTATATATATAAAAAAAAATCTTTAAAAAAATGGCCTAAAAACTTTTTAATATATATATATATATATGTATATATATGTATTGAAAAAAGTCCTTAATTTTTTTTTTTTTTTTTTGCTTAGAACTAAAAAGAAATAGAGACAGCCCTAAATATCGTTAGCAATTACTGACTAAAACTCTTACTCGCATAAAGTTGCCAACAGACTTGTAGTGATATTTTAGATTTTAAACTACCAAAATGTAATTATGCATTTTCATTTTGATTTAATTTTATAAGAAAAAAATAATTAAACATAATACCATATCTAAATAAAACAAACCAAAAAATCAAACCAAAAAATCAAACCAAAAAAAAATATAATATGCAATAAGAAAATAGTGTGCATCTTTTTCGCGTAGTCATCTTCGGACTTCCATAATATTTAAACGCGGTCATCTTTTGGTTTGCAGTTATTTCTGACCATAGTCAGTTTTGGGGAAAGCCATCTTTATCCCAAGACATGTCCATTTGGGTATAGTCAAACCCAATTGATAACTCTATTCATTCCTTCTTGTTTATAAGTCATCAAGACTAAGTTTTTTCAAGTTCTTAACAAAAAGCTAATAGTTTGAGTAAAACAAAACTAAAACCAAGAGCCACTGACAAGATAATATATGGGCTTCTAAGATAATCATCTATTATATTAAAACAGAAGCACATTTAGTACTTGCTTCCAAACACTCCTAATTTTTTTTAAGTGTTTAAAAATAATTTTAATAATTATTTATATTTAATTTCGAAAATTAGTTATTAATTTAAATATTTTTAGAATTCCTTAAATATAAGTAATTTAGATTTGATTTCATTTGATTAAAAATAATAAATCAGATATTAATTTAGATTTGATTTAAAGATTCTAATTTAAATAATTTCTATACTATTCAACATTTTAATCAAAAATATCTAGAATTTTTGAAAAAAACATAATTCACATATGAAAAATAATGGTCATATTTGAAATATAAAATATTTATAATGATGTAAAATGATATAATTTTTATGTTGCTTATATAATATATTTACGATTATGATTTATTTACAAATTAATAATAAAATAATAAGTAAAATTTAAATGTATAATTTAAATATTTAATATACTTTTTAAAATTTATAGAACTAAAAATATATATAAAAACCGGGTTAAAAATATTTTGGTAACTAAAATCACTAATTTTGAATTATACATATATATCGAAAATATATTTTTCATACAAAATAAAAACATAAAAAATTAAAAATTATTGTATACACTATAATATGGTTTGAAAAACCAGTTGTAGACTCCTTTCGTTGATTAAATTTTAGAAAATTATAATATTAAATAATACTGTTAATACATCTCAAACTTTTAACAAATATTTATATTATGTGGTAATATGAACAAAAAAGTTAGAATTATGTTTTTATAATAATTCATTTTGAATTAATATTAGCGGACAGGTTAAAATTATATTTTTATAATCATAATTAATTTTAATACTATAAAAATATATTTAAACACAAAAATTAATATTTTCACTTATTAAAAAATATATTTATAAAAATTATTATATCTAAACTCAAAAACACAAATTATATTAAAAAATTCGTTAAACAATAAAAAATATTCTCGTGCGAATGCACAGGGTTAAAATCTAGTAATCCTTTATAAGGGAATCTCAAAATCGACTTCTTTCAATGGTTTCATAAAATTAATTGACAATGGGTAAAAGTTAAATTATCCAAATAAATACATAGAAAAAAAAAAATGCATTCTCCCAACATTTTCCCTATCACACCCTCCATCTTTTCCCTTCAATCACAAATCCTTCCACCAACCACTGATAGAGAGTGTCCAGTTTCAGGCGTTAAGAACATACGAAGTTGGGACTAACTTGCCAGTGGTAGCATTCTGGTGAGAGGCTCTGCAATGGTGGGAGCTTGAGGGTGTCTTCTGTTTCTTTTCATTTTGTAGTTTATAAACTGATTTTGCAAACAAACTAAAAAAAAAAAAAAAAGCTCTTTTGAATGATCATTCATTCTATTTTCCGCTTCTTCGCTGTGTTCAAGCCTGTGGTCTTGCAGATTGGGCAAAGATTCTTCTGTTTCAGCCATTCTTTTATGCATTGGCTATGGAAATCGTGACCACATTCTAACGTCCCCGTGTCTTCTCCTTCGGTGTATTCTTCCTGCACAGAGTTTCACCATTCATACTCAACGAAAAAGCTCTAATCTTTCTTCAAATCCTATTAGTATTATTTGTTTACCTGACAAATACAGCATGGCTCTGCATCTTGTGGAGATTTTGTGCTGCTGCTTTTGTATTTTCGCTGCTTTAACCGGTTTGATATGATTTCTTCGTTTACACCGGTACAAACATCTCCAATCCGCTCTTCTAGTGCCAACAATTCCTAAAGTTTGTGAAACCAAAGGATGAGGTTTTCACAATTTAATATGACCCGACAAAGATTTTATGGTCGGCTTATGAGTGTTTTACCTCATATGACATGTTGTCTACATCAAGTCGCATGTCTCTGTAACGGTCATGCATACCAGCAGCCCCATCAAACAGCACTGACTGGTTTAGAAGCATAACGTCCTGGACAAACAACAAACAAATCAGGTTTTGTTCATCAAGAAATCAACATAGACAGACACAAAACAAGTAGTATTTAGATAACTTTGCAATAGTCTTTACTGGTTTTTCAAAAACTAACCTCAAGCCGCAAGTTATTATTAGGATCCCTACGCATGACATCCAAGACATTCTGCATCTATCCAGAAGAAAAGCGCATTGTCAGTTAAAGCTAACAGAGACCACACAGGTTCAAACGCTTCACGACAATAGAACTTGTAGAACTGACCTGGGATACCATAAGTCTACTTCTTCCTCTGCTTGCAGCAGCTAAGGCCCGAAAAGATTGAGGAACCCCAACCACACTATCCCCTTGCCTATCAAACCACGGACCTGCTCTCGAATAAGCCCGACTATGCATTTGACTAGTATCACCACCAGGCTGAAGTACAAGCCCATCCGGAGGGGCAGCAGGGGCCAACGAACGAAGTGTTGAATGATCACCAGATCTCTGGTTTGTAGTATCTACAGCAAGGGAAGAAATCAATGACCTACGGACAAGTTCGGATCTTCTTCTTTGATGATGAGGTATATTCTGGTAAGGGGTCCACGCTAGATTAGAAGATGGTGGTTGAACACCTATGGTTGAGCTTGTCCTGGACACTGATGATGCGATATTCAGGCTTCCACTTGTTGCATTTCTGCTACTCTGACCGCGAGCTAAATTCCTGATTTCAGGAGCTGGAATAAACAAGGGATTCTCTAGAATGTTTCCTGATACGCTTCTTGACCGGGTTTCATCTAAATGAAGATTTCTCTCAACGGGCGCAGTAGAGTTCGATGATCCACCCGCTAGTGAGCCATCAGTCCACTGAAATGGTGGTAGCATATTCCTTGAAACAGGTGGTATGCTCATAGCATGAGCATTTGAGTTACGAGAGAAGACATTGCCTAAAGATTGTCCCTGACTCAAGTCCAACATATGTTGATCTGCTGGTAGAAGTCTTGATAAGTTAGACTGCGATGGAGGGACGGGTCGCCTGATAACAGTTCCCGCAGAAAAGGCAGCTGGGTTTACAGTTTCTTGCTGATCTGAGGGATTTCTAGTACTGGAGCTCTCTGCAACTGCAGAAACAGGAAAATTTGGAACAGTACCAGAGACTAGTCCTCTTGGACCATGGTCAAGTGAGCCAGATATGTTTAAACCATTTCCTGGCCTATAGACTGTAGAAGCTGGGGTCCATGAACTGCTTTCTCCATGGTGGTAATCACGATAACCTCCTGAAGAAGATTGACCAATACTACCTTCAAGAACTTTTCTCTTGCAGGATGCACGACGACCCTCTGCAGAAGAACCTGTTCTAACACTACTTTCTTCGAAAAGTCTGCTTGGTTGTGAAACCCTGGTCCCTGGTCCATTACCTTCAAAGAAACCAGACCGTTCCCTAACTTGATTAATATCCTCGTGAAGATCTATATATTCTGCATTCAGATTAACATTCTGAACAGGTTGATTCGGGCCAGATGGTTCAGGGTCTAAATCAATTATTTCATTTCTTCGCAGCTCGCTGTGACTGGAAGCTTCATTCTTCGTGCTACTAGAGCTAGCCTCGCCGAGGCTAAACCTGTGTAGATCATGTTGCTCGCGAGAAATTGAGGTTGCATGTGACGTACTTGATTCAGAATGTGCAATCATGTAATCCTGCAAGTCATTATCACCAAGACTGTGAACATTCTCCCAATGATCTATCACACCATTACTTGAGGTTGAACCGTGCTCAAAGTTCAAGGCCTCTGATAAATAGCCGAGACTGGCCCTCTCTCCCTGCATCTCGGCTAAGCTTTAACAACAGTTACACTAGGGAGAAGAGAACTAACGAGACTATTCCTGTTCTCAACAATGTGCCTAATAGGGAGACTGCACAAGAACAAAGACAGCAAATCTTTCAGTAACAAAGACGAGGATAACACAAACACTCTCAATCAAGACATAACTCCTCGAATTGTAATAAGAAATGGCTTCCTGAGATTGCGTATACAATCATATAGCCGAGCTTCACCTATAAGAGCACAAGGGGAACTCAAAGCAAGAACGCTGCAACTAGTACTACGCAGACAGATGCAACTTCAGGTATATACAGATAAAGACTGATTCATAGATGCAATGCCTAACTAAAACACAAATGCTTTAGCAGGAAACTGATGACATACGAGTTCTTAACAAGACAATACATATGACACAACCATTAAAAGCATGAAAAAAACTTCAATTTTGCTTTTGTACAAGCTGAATTATCCATTACCAAATAGAAGCTAGAACCACGCAACAACCACGCCACTTCGCCACTTGAACCAAAACTAAACAATATAGTTGAAAAGAGTTTACTCAACTACCACCACAATGGCATCAGAAAATGAAGAGAATATCAAAATGCACAGCTCAAATAAACACTGCCTGATCAACGATATGGCGTCTCTGACATATCAACTAAACAACCTCTAGAGTTTCACAAAATCACCGACCAAGAAATTAAGTATCACAAAGCCCCAATATCAAGCAAACATATCAAACAGCAAGGTAAAGCAAAGGTAAAAGAAATCCACAGCTTGAAGGTAAAGCATCGTCAGATAAATAATCAACAACCTCAAAGACAAAAATCAGAAAGATTTATATCTCAATAAACGTAAAGAAGCCAGCTTTTCTCTTCAGACAAACAAAGAAAACAAAAAAAAACAAGTTCATAGAAGTAGAGAGATCCATTCAAATGCGATGAGACCAAAGCTCAAAACCCATCTAAAGGAACCACCTTTGAAACAATCGATTCAACTGGATTTCAAATGATCAAAGCCAGAAAAAAATTTCAAAAATAAAGCGACTAAATTGAAAAAAAAAAAAAAAGTTACAATGAATGAAACCCACCAACCGATTTCGATCGAGCTTGGAAAAAACAATAAAACCCAGAATCCACAAAATACATAAAATCGATCTAAAGAACCTAAAATCAAAGTATAAAAACAAAAAAAAAGGTCGATAAATTATTCTACGAAACGATTTTCAAATTTTTTTAAAAAGGGTTAAATCGATTGAGAAAGAGAAGAAGACCTACCGCTTTGTTGCAGCGAGAAGAGGAAGACGAAGAGAAGAATGAGGCAGAAAGGAAGCTCTTTCTTAAGCACAAAACAAAAACAAAAACACAAATGGGAACAGAAAAGAGGATTATTAGGAAGAGACGGCAATGTGTAATTTACCATATGACCAAACAAAAATAAAAATAAAAAATTTAGATTTTTGATGATAAAAAGGAGGAAAATAAAGAAAGAAAGCAAATGGTCATGAAGGGGGTTAAAAAAGGGTCAGTCATAAGAACAGTTTCCAAAGAAACAAGAATTGAATAGCTTAGCCTAAATCAACGAATAACAACAAAAGTTTATAGATTTTTAAAATATATAAATTAAATGTGTAATTTAATACACGTTATGTCTAAATGTCGAAGAAGAAGAAGAATGAAAAAGCAAGTTGGCAAGTTAATATTGTTTTTTGGTTTTGGGACGTTTAACAAATGGTTATGTCCCACGTCCAACCAAAAAAGTTTTTTAGCCTTTGCTTCTTCACACGTCCCTCGTTTTGCTTTTGTTTTTGTTTTGATTTTGAAATTCAACTTAACCTAGCCAAACCAAACCAAACCAAACCAAACCAAAAGATTTGGTTTGTTTCTTTTTTTTCGTTCATTTCTTTCTTTTTGTTACTTAGTTGCCATGTAACTTTGGTCTACTTTCTGATTCTGTATGTCTTCCATTTCCTTTCATTTAGATTCTCAATTAAACAAATAAACAAAAAACAAAACACCAAAAAGATACGTGTTCATCAAAATAACTATTTTACCTAAATATGCTACTCACAAGATTTTCAACTTATGAATGTTCTTATCATATTTATTCAATTAGAAAATTCAAAAAAAAAATTGTAGAGAGTGTAGATATCAGTTATCGATAACTTCTTACCTAAATTCTTTTAAATTCTGGTCAATATGTTTTCATTGTTTTGCAATCAATTTATTCCTCTCCTTTTTTGCCCTCTAATCTCATTCATTTCATTCGAAATATACAAAGTCATTACGAAAACTAGGAAAGTAGATTATTACATTCATATGCTGAATATAATTAAAACAAACAAGTGAATTGACGATGCAATCAATTTCTTTATCATTTCGTGATTTTTTTAGTGTAAAGGTTAATGATAAGGTTCATCCCCTCCTCCTACATAATTTGAACTTTTGAAACGTAGATTCAAGTGGAATTTTTTTTCTTGTTAGTGGAAATTTCATTCTATTCATGCATATTTTTATTTATCTTATGAATAATCAAATTATTTTTTTATGTTTTGGTTTGAGTTTTATAGAAACCCAACAAACCAATTAACTGAGAGCGTACATAGCAGTTAGCATGCTCATCTTATTTTACATTATGGAAATTAAACGTAATTTGATAGTTCTTTCAATTTATGTAAGACTAAAACATGTTTGATACACGTTTTTTTTTGTCCGCTCAAATGAACTATTATTTAGAAAACTAGTTCGAGTACATAACAAAAGAGAGAGAGGGCAGACAAAACATAGAATCGCATGAAACCCCTAAATAAAGTATAACTAGATGCTCAAGGATGCTTCTCGATGTATATGGTTGTGAAGCCAAGCCGATGGCTAATTACGACTAAAAACGACCATCTCTTATGACGTTTTTTGAAATATCGTCTTTTAGAGCTCACTTTTTCTAACTCAAATTTGCATCAATGGAAACTGGCCCAAAATTTGTTGATATAGACCAAGAAGAAGGTTTCAAGATCACTTCAACCACCGATGCCAAATCTGAGGCAATACTTATATCCGATAGGTGAAGATCTCGAGCACTCGAAGTGTCCAAATGATCACTCGAAGCTCTGGTATGATTTGATTAGGAGATTGAGTGAATGCTTCCCTTGCACGAAAAATAACTGATTTCTTGTTATCTTGAGCAATCCAAGCACCATCACTCAGCGCTGGTTCATGTCTTTTTGAGGCGATCGAAAATCAAAAATATGCCTTGTTTATTGGTTAATCAAACTGAAAAATAATATTATATATTTTTTTTTTACTAAAGATAGCCCATAATTTTTTTTGTGCCTTAGTCGTGTAGGATGAAGCAAAGCTTCTGGAAAGGGAAATGAATAGCTTTATCTTTGATTTCTTTTTCACTTAAGGTTTTACAATGCAAGTATAAGAGTATTTATACACAAATCTAAAACCCTAAATTGTATAGAGACAGATGTTTCATCAGTCTTCTTTCAGTTGATCAAGGGCTGAGAATGCATTAGATAACTTGAGGTGATCAGCTTGCTTTTCCCTACGACATTGCAGAGGCGTGCCTTTGTCTTTAATGCTCTGACTTGTACCTTCTCCTCTTTTTTTCTCTTTGTCTTGTTGCAAAATAGCCGTTGGAGTTATTTCCAATTTGGGCTTTATATTTACAAAGACACGCTTGGGCTCTTCCAGAGTTTGGTCCACTTTATCTTTTTTTTTTTACTCTCTGCACTGTCGTTTTGCTTTGATATGTTGTCAAAAACAGAGTGAGCAGAATAACCTCTAATATCCCCTCTCAAAATCGGTGTTGGTGTTGGTGGAACATCTACACCGAGTTTGAACCGTAAATCACAGAATGCCTGGTAAGGTAGAGACTTGGTGAAGATGTCCGCGAGCTGGAGGTAACCTGGAATATGCTTCACCAACAAAGAACCTAATGCAACACGTTCACACACATAATGGTAATCCAACTCGAAATGCTTTGATCGCTTGTGATAAGCAGGGTTGGCAGTGAGATAAACGGAGGAAAGATTGTCACAGCAAAGCTCTGGTGTGACAGGAAGAGAAAAACCGAGTTCTCTCAGCCAGGAACTGTCCAAGAGAGTTCAGAAGCTGTTTCAGATAAGGCGCGGTATTCAGCTTCAGTGGACCTGCAAGACACAGTGGGCTGTTTCTTTGAGGACTAAGAAATGATATTCTGACCAAAGAAAGTACAGAAGCCACCAGTGGATCGGCGAGTAACAGGACATCCTGCCCAATCACTGTCGCTGTATGCACTTAAAGTGCAATCAGTGTCTTTTGTGAATGAAATTCCCATGGTAAGTGTTCCTTTGAGGTAACGTAAGATCCTCTTCAAGTTTGTGAAGTCAGAAACAGATGGAGCATGCATCTTTTGACATACATAATTGACAGCAAATCGTAGATCAGGTCTGTTAAAGGTGAGGTATTGAAGCTTACCAGCCAAACTTCTGAAATATGTTGGATCATGAAACGGTTTGTCCTGATCTGGCACTCGGTTGAGCTGAAGAGGCATTGGAGTTGGCATTGGGGAGCAGTCAGCCATAGCAGCCACAATAAGAAGGTCCTCTGCATATTTTTGCTGGGAAAGAAACAGGCCTTTCTCGTGAAACTGAGCTTGAATACCAAGGAAATAGTGCAACTTGTCTATATCCTTCATTTGAAATTGTTTACTGAGTTCCTCAAGCACTCTTGCCATATCAGCTGAACTATTTCCTGTAATCGCCATATCATCCACATATAACAAGAGCATAATGACGTCTTTATCATGTGTGTAAATGAATAGAGATGGATCCTTGATACTGCATTTGAATCCAAACTCCAAGAGGAAGGTACTGAATCGATCAAACCAGGCTCTAGGAGACTGCTTTAAGCCATAGAGAGATTTATGCAATAAACACACATGATCTGGTTTTGTTGAATCAACAAACCCTGCCGGTTGACTCATATATACAGTCTCTGATAAATCTCCATGCAAGAATGCATTTTTAACATCCATTTGTTTGATTTCCCATTGCATTATTATGGCAATATGAAGAACAGTCCCTACAGTTGCAGAACGGACAACCGGGCTGTATGTTTCAAGATAATTGATTCCCTCTTGCTGACCAAATCCTTGAGCTACGAGACGAGCTTTCAGCTTGTCAAGGCTGCCATCAGTGTGTAGTTTGGTGCAGAATACCCACCTGCTTCCCAGTACAGGCATTCCGGGAACATATGGAACAAGAGACCACGTTTTTGTAGCCTGACAGTTTCCATATTCTTCATGCATAGCATTAGTCCACCCTTGATCCTTAAGAGCCTCCGTGACAGTCTTAGGTTCAGGGTAAGCAACACGATGAGTAAGTAAGACATATCTTGGGTTTGGTTTTTGAATCATTGACTTTAGACGAGTAACCATAGGATGTTGTGGTTGATGAACTGGTGAAGAAACTGCAGAACTTGGAGCCACACTGGTGCTATTAGAGTTGTCTTTAGAAGGGAGCAAGACGCTGTCGCCAATAGGAATGGGATGTAAGCCCACCGTACGCTCAGTACATCTACTCCCCTCTGGAGAGCTCAATTTGATGGGTGCATCACTGCACTGATCAGACTCCTGAGAAGGCTGGACTGAAGACAGAGGATGAAAGGTATGTGTAGCTGTAGGAGAATCACCTGTCGGAAGCTGTGAAGTATCTGAAGGAACTGAGGGCAAAGCAAAACTCTGTTGCCAAGCTGAGAGGGATGCAGTTGAAGCCTTTGTTTGAAAAGAGAGATACTTATCTGAAAAAGGGAATGATGATTCATCGAACAGCACTTGTCGAGTGATATAAACTTTACCAGTGGGTGGATAATAACACTTGTATCCTTTATACTTGTCGTTATACCCAAGAAACACGCAGTGTAACGACCTAGGATCAAACTTGTTGGCCGCATAAGCTCTTAAGGTTGGAAAACAGGAGCAGCCAAAGGTTCGCAGAGCAGAGTATTCTGGAGTCTTGCTGTATAGAAGTTCATATGCACTTCGTTTCTCACCGATCACAGATGAAGGAAGAAGATTAATGAGAAAGGAAGCCGTGAAAAAGGCCTCTACCCAGAACATCTGAGGTAATCTACTCTGGAACATCATTGTTAAACCAAGCTCAGTGATGTGTCTATGCTTGCGTTCTGCAAGTCCATTCTGCTGCGGTGTGTATGGACATGAGATATATTGCTGAATGCCTGAGTTTTGAAGATGATTAAGAAACTTTGTACTGATAAACTCTCCCCCACCATTGCATTGGAAGATGTTTATTTTGGTAGTCAACAAGCCTTTGAAAGACAATAAACGTAGAGTAAAAGACTGACTTGGCTTTCAAAGGGTAGAACTAACAATAGCGTGAGTAGT